AGGTGCATGCCACCACATCCAGCTTATTTTTGTATTTTGTGTATAGATGGAGTTTTGTCATGTTGACTAGGCTGGTCTCAAACTCCTGAGTTCAGGCAATCCACCTGCCTTGGCCTCCCAAAGTGCTGGGATTACAGGCATGAGCCACTGCGCTCGGCCTAATTAATTATTTTGTATAAGAATTCAGTTTAGCAGCTTTAATGTGAGAGCAAGTTGTCATATGCACATCATATTAGGGAAAGATAAGTTCTACAAGATTTAAAGATGAGATTCAGAATAATTCATTTATTCTTTAAAGACTTTTCTTACCACATCTGAATTTCACACATATACACACACACATACAGACACACACCACAAATAAAACTGCTGTCTGCCTTTTCTTCATGTACTTTCAGGTTAGATGAGGGCTTTAGAAGCTAGCTGCTTCCACATTTTAAGACAGAATCAGTGAGTAGGTAAAATAAAGTTATGCTCTTTTGAAAAATGCTATAACATGCTTGGCTGATGGGCATATTAGGACCTTTGTAATGAGATGGCAGGGAAAGGAAGCAAGCAAGAACTAGCTGGAACTGAGGTTTTTCAGCTGGAGTGAAGGAGGTAGGGCAGGGAATGTGAGGCAGCTAATCCTGTGCATTATTGGACCCTGTGTGGCTGGCCTAGGGAGATGGAGGGGACTTTGTTTGCAGGTTGAAGATACTAAGAAAGCCAATGAAGTTCCTGTCACATTTACTCACTCACTCATTAGTTAACTTACTCATAACATTTTTATTGAGAGCTTATAAGGCACTACATTTGTACTGGTGCTGAAATACAGCACTGAACAAAATGGAAAAATTGTCCCTGCTTATCATTATGGACATGGGCATACCTGTCCTGCCATGTACAGGAGAGAAAGACACTAAGCAGACGTTCACATAAATATATAATTAAAAATCCCAAGGAAGGTTTTGAAGAAAAACTACTGGATGACAAGAGAACATAGGAGAACTGATTTAGTCCAGAGGGTAGTGGTCAGGGAAGATCTTGTGATTTCAGGTTTAGACATGCAGGCATTCTTGGGAGAAAGAAGAGATAAAAGCATTCTCAGTAGCAAGAATAGCATGTTGTAAAGGAAACTGCTGGCAAAGAGCTAGTCAATGACCAGGGTAGCTAGAGCAGAGTGAATGATTTCCTTTTAAATAAGTTTGAGGAAAAAATATATAGAATATGTATTTTTTATTAATATGTGGAATTGATAAAAAAAATTTATAATCCCATAAACTTCTAAATCTTCATTATAAGATAATGAATTGAGCTCTGAAGCCAAACAATATTTGCCTCGCTTTGTGTATTTTTATTGGGCTGCTTTCCACAACAGAACAGTGAAGATTATACTCTAGGTGTGCATATAAGGAATACTATATGCATGTATGCACACACCCCTTTACTTTGCTGTTTAAGGAGATTTAACGATGATATGATCTTGCTATTAAATTCACACTAAATTTTCCCTCTTTTTTTTTTTTTTTTTTTTTTTTTGACACGGAGTCTTGCTCTGTCACCTAGGCTGGAGTGCAGTGGTGCGATCTCAGCTCACTGCAACCTCTGCCTCCTGGGTTCAAGCACATCTCCTGCCTCAGCCTCCCAAGTAGCTAGGACTACAGGTATGCGCCACCACACCTGGCTAATTTTTTCTATTTTTAGTAGAGATGGGGTTTCATCGTGTTACCCAGAATGGTCTTGATCTCCTGACCTTGTGATTCACCTGCCTCAGCCTCCCAAAGCACTGGGATTACAGGTGTGAGCCACGTGCCCGACCAATTTTCTCTAACTTTTAACTCAACATATTTCGATTACATAGAGCTAGTATTACAGCAGAGATAGAAGCCTATGAAATGCAATACTCAATCTTCATAGTACTCTTCCACTTAGTTCTATTCCATTAAAGATGGCCATGTTATCCAAAGGAGTAACTGGCAAAAATGAAGATTAGTGGTTCATCATGAAAGTGATTAGATTACAGATTGATACTGATATTATGTTTTTGGGAAAATTTAACATAAGGAAAAAGCCTTTCATTTTCAAGTAAGTGTGTATAAACAGATAAAACAAAAATTCATGTGAAATATAAAAAGCTATTATTTAAGCATATGTTGCTTTGTCTCTAAGGTCCAAGCATTTTTAACTATAATATTCTGTTGTTCCAGCAACAGATCAAGCTAAATAACTACTTGTGTTTTATAATAGCAGCAGCTCTGTATGTTTTCCTAACTTAATAAATAATAACATAAAGCAAAAGATAATTTTGGATAGAAATCAATCCAAGCACTGAAAACAGTATTAACATCAACATCCGAGGGCACATGCTTTTTCAAGCCAAGCCTTTTCAAAATGCACTCATTTATTCATTAAAGCACAAATGCCTCTGCATATGGAATATGTACCATGCATGAAGCAATAGGGTAGACTGTGGAAAGACCCCTGGAGTAGGTGATTTGGGTTATAATCCTGACAACAGCACTTACACTTTGTTTGCAACACAACTTTGTGTAAATCATTTCTTATTTTGAGTTTTGTTATTTGCAAATATGGTTGTTGTGAGGTTCAAAAGACATATCAAATGTGGAAATTCCCTTGCTAACTGTGAAAGCACTAAATAAGTGCAAGGTGAGCTCTTCAAGGGAACTCAAGAGTCTAGTAAAAACCTCACCAATTAAAGTTCTCTCTTTTAGAACATTGATTATAGACATCCAACATGCACTTGGGGGTTAACAATTATTTTGCTTCTTCTAAACCTGAGAAAAGAGTTAGAAAGTACCCAGCCTTCTACTCTGGAATTGGTATATCAGAGTTACAGGGGAAGATTTCCCCCAAAGTTAACAATATTCCTTGCTCTATGCTGGTGCTCTATCAAAAATTAGTTGAGATAGATGTCATCTATTTGGGAAATACCATGTTACAGATTTAAGACATATATAATAAAAATAGGGGGGCAAAACTGGACTCCAATTCCTTTCTTACAGTAAATTTGTAGAAGTAAAGTTAGTAGACCAGGTTCTCGATATACATAACTAAATCATGTCCTTCTCAAAAATATTCATAATATTCCTGATTACAAGTTTGACTCACCTTTTACTGTTTTCCCTAATTTAACACCTCATAGTTCACAAGACTCAACTACTTTCCTTCCCCACACAGTATAACATCTGTCAGGATATGCATGGCAGAATGGAACAGGCTGAGTATTTAAATGTGCCTTCAATGGCTCACTACTCTTCTCAGGATAAATCCAAACTTTTAATAATTTTATACACTCTGAGTCAAAGTGATGGTCTCCTCTTCCTTCTCTAGGTTCATCTCTCACTAGCAACTTCCTTCTTGAATAGGCCATCTGTCCCTCATCTTCAAACTTTTGTTCAGGGTATTACTTATGACTGGAACACCAGATTCTAGAGGAAGCTCAGTGCTCATACAGCTCTTCTGAGTAGCGGTAATAATAAAAGTGGTCCCCTTCAAACAGCTAAGAGTACTGATTTCAGGCTGACTCTGAATGTCTATGGAAAAAATAATAATTCCATAAATCAATCATTTAATGGAGCAGATTTTGATACGGGCACTAGTGTCTTGGAAAGAGACTTGAGAGTATGTAACTGGGGAAAAGGGAGGGTAGAGAATGAGGCACCTAGGAGTGCTAATGACACTCCAGTCCAAATAAAAATATTTTTCTATACTCAAATTTTATGAAAGAGCTATAGAATAAGTAGATGACTTAAGAGACTTATTCAGAGAAACAACTCAAGAATAAGTTATTTAATCTTTCACATTTTGTATGCCTAGATGGTATACCTTCTACAGCAGGAGCAGATTAAAATTTTTTTAATATTTTAAGCATTAAGCACAATCATTCAAATTACTTAAAACTTGTAGTCCATGTCTTTCAAGGGCTCCTAAAAAGAAGCTATAGTTCTAGTGACACAACAAACTCCTTTTAACCAAAATGGTTTAATATGCGTAATTTTGTGGATTGAATGTTCTTGCTAACACGATTCTCAGCTTCCCCACGGCCATTATCCTAGTTTCTCATCATCCATATGGCTTGGACTTAGTGGTCCTGCCTTTGACGTCTCAAATGATGTTCTGCGCTAGAGAGATCAAACAGGCCAATTTGATCATGCAAGTCTCCAGCTCAAAGTTATTCAATAGCTCTTTATTACTGCAGGAAAGAACCTAAGTATTTTATCATACAATTCATGATCTAACCTTTACCTGTGCCTCCAGGCCCATCTACTCTCCCTTTCTCATGTCATTTCCTCCTATTGTTAATAAATCAGCAATTATAAGCCGCATGAAATCCTTGGAATGTGCTACATTCTCACACATTTGTGGTGCACCTCCATGTGCCTTTGCACTAAAGTACTGCTATTCATATTTTATTCTTCATTCAAATGCTACCCCCTCTGAAGCCTTTGCTCACTTCCCCTAAAGACTAAGGCTTTCTTTCTCCTAAATTCCTCTCATACTTTCTGCACCCACCCATAACAACAGTTAAGTTATATTGGGACTCTCAGCATGTCTTTCTCCCCATATAATGATGTGTCATGTCTTCCCATTTTACCTCTAGCTTTACTCTCCATGTCTAGCAAATAATAGATGCTCATTTTTAAATGGAATCATGACTATATTAAAATTACGACTTTAATGTTGAATTTTGCAGCTATCTGTGCATTGCACAGTATCACACTGATGATTAATCAGCTATTTATTATCGTTCTCCATCAATTTTGTACATATTGTTATCCCATTAAAAATTCAACTTGCTACAACTATGAACTCATTGAACGCATAAACTTAAGAAAAAAAATCAATTACCCATCATTTTTTAAGAGCATAAACTTTGAAGTTAGGCTCTTTTGTGAAAATCTAGTAAAAGGAAAAAAATAACCTGGAATTTACTTAAAAGAGTCACTTGCTAGTTGACCAATAAAAGCTATATCAAAAATCTTTGAAATTTTACTTACATGGTATAGTGTAGTCTCTGGCACAGGAGTTCCCATGATGTCTTGTCTCAGTGCATCCATTTGTAAACTAGGTAGCAATGAATAGTGAGTTGGGCTATTACTCTTATCACCCTTCTTTTTTGACTTCTTCCCTGTGTCCTTTTTGCTATTTCTCTGAAACATGTATTCTTCTTGAGCAATCTTTTCATTGCTCATATACCGAAGTAGAGAGTTTTCTATTGAAAAAGAGATAAATACACCAATATAAATATACAAACACCCCAAATTTATTATGCTTTCTCAATTGTGCTATTATTAGGTTGGCACAAAAGTAATTGCAGTTTTTGCCATTACTTTTAATCACAAGAACCACAATTACTTTTGCACCAACCTACTATATTTCATTTCAGAACTTTAACTTGATTGAACTTATAAAATATGTAGTGAAATACAGTATATCTTAATTATTTGGGATAAGACAATAAAAAATAGTTAGCCAATAGATTATTTCTCCAAGTTTTATCTTTAGACCAACTACATTAGAATCACCTGTGGAACTTGAATCAGAAGTTCTAGGCGTGTGGTTTATAAAATCTGTAACAAGCTCCCTCAGGGGGATTTTGCCAAAGCCCAATAACAAACACTGGCTCATGGCATGCAAGGTAGCATGCTTGGAGAAGTTAAAGCCCACGTTAAGAACCAATAGTAAGGAAATTTATTCAGGAATTCTATGCTTAAAATGGCAGTCAGCATTAGTACTTCACATGGTCCCCCGTCTCCACCAACAAAAGTCACTGTAATATGAAGTCCCAAAACAGTGACTCTGAGATAGCATATGATAAGCATTTCTCTTTTATATTTTTCTTGATTTATTCTATAGAACAAATGAAATTAGAAATTGAAGATTGGAAAACAGAATGAATACATAGATGCAAAGGAATATGTCAATGTTCCTGTATTTATCAACATTTTAAAAAATGCTCACTCCATAAAACAAGTATTAAGAAGACTAATGAATCAGATATTCATGTTTGCTTGTCCATATGGTCTGTGGATCTGTGCAGTAATAAAATAAATTCTGTATACTGGCTAGAAATAACAAGAAAATGGGTCAAATATATCATGAAGGAAGCTTAGTGAAATTACATTCTATAAATAGTTTTTTGTTTTGATTTATTTTTCAACTATGACCTTACGGCTTTCTACTTCAGAAAGTGGAAGTAGCAGCATGACCCACTGGGCCCACCATACCCACACTTGATCAAATCCTATTTAGTAGGGAAACTTTCAGTTGCTCTCTTTATTGCTCATCTCTATAGCAGGATAAGTGAACATAAAAACTTACTTTTGGTAGATATTTCAAGAGTAGCCCACCCCCATATAAGACGACAACTCTGAACAGCAAACAGAACAGGAAAAAAAAGCAAAAGTTTTTTTCTATTTCTACATGTTTTTGTTAGAAGTCACTGGCCCAGTTTCCATTAGCTTTTAACACATGTGCTTCAATGCTTATTTTGAGGTTGCTTCCATACAAAAGTGGTGAGGTTGCATTGTGGACTGATGAGGATTGATGATAAACTCTTCCTATTCACTGAACTTAATTATTTTATGCGGTTTCACACTTCTGACCTTGTGTTCCAAATATTAACTTTCAAATAACAATTAGATATTCACTTTTAACACTGTACTTATCTACCCTGAACCCCTTAGAAGGCATTCAGAGACAATGTCTATTTAATACTGGGTCAAGATAGTCAAATGTTGGTCTGACTTGGTTTTGTTGTACAATAAAGTCAATGATAGAATAAGTTTTCCACTGAAGCCATAACAATCTATTTACAGAACATTTAAATTTGCTTACTGTTCAAACAACCCAGCCTACACTGAAATTCTAGAACACTTACCTCTTCTACTATCTCTCTTCATCTTATTTGGATCTTCATAGTCCCCCACCCAATTATATTCCACTGGCATAGATATAGGTCGTAGCTTGCCTAAACACAGAGAACAAAGTTCATATCACATTGTTTTTCTTCCCCATGTCTGCTCAAACTTACACTGATTTTTAGCTAAAGTCTACCAAACACACTCACTCTTATGCAACATTATGGCTGGCATTTGCGTAGATGGAGAAAATGTATTTTGAGCCAGAAGGTGAAACTGCCTATTGGCCAGTTGATAAAACAAACTTAAGGTACTTTTTATAAATAATAATGAATAGCCTAGGTTAACTCTCTTAGGAACACCAGATTTTAAGACTGTAGTTTTTTCTTTTTCAAAGAGGATAATCAAATAAGCGATTTTATTTTATTTTCAGTAGCCAGATCTCTATCTTATTTCCTAATGCCCAAGTGTCTATATCTCGATAGCCAACCTCCAAGATGGTAGCTTTCTGTGTTTAACCTATCGGACCACCCATTGGTACCACCCACTGTTTCATGTTGGAACACCACAGGATAACTTTTTATCTTTGCTGCTTCCTAACCCCTATCAACATACATTTTAGACACCACCATGCCTCAAAAATATGGTTAGATTCTCTTTCATGTCCTATAGCTAAATCTGTTTCTAAGCATCTCTTTTGCTTATAGTGAGCCTGCCCCGTTTGCAGATCCAAGTAATCACTGCTTTGGTCTGTCCCATTTCTCCCTGGGTCTGTATCCTTACTAAATTTCACTTCAGCAAGGAGAACTCATGGCAAAGACTTCAAGAATAACTTTTATTTTGGTGAGGTTTCAGTGTATTATTTTTGTTCCACTTGAAATTCCTGAAGCCTAAAACAGCCAAAGAAAATAATTCAAAAAATCCTTTAACAGGATACCTAGCACAATGCCTGGCATGAAATAGTTGCTTAATAAATTTCTAGTGAATGAAAAGCAGGGACTCACACAGGACTGGATCATACAAATAATGATGGTTATTATGATTATGATAATAGTAGAAAATGTATATATCATTTGCCATATATCACATACTAAGAGTTTTATAAGTATTAAATTATATACTCATGTTAATTAAGAGAAATATGCTATCATTATCCTCATTTTCACTGATGAGGAAACTAAGGTTATGTAACTTGCTCAAGGACATACACCTGGTAACTGCATTGTATCAGGATTCAAAACCAGGCATTCAAATATTACTTCTGTTATAATTCTTGGTGACTTCAATATTCACCCTCTGAGATTCTGGCCTTTCAGTTTCTTGAGGTTCTCTCCTACACTGATTCTTGTGGTCATATGCTTAATCTCATCTGCAAAGGCTGCAATCCCTTTAAATATCCCACTTACCAACTACTACCTTTTGTATTTCTAGCACACTCCCTACAATACTCCAAGTCCAACAATTCTTCCTCCTTTAATCTATTAATACCTAACGTATCACTTTTCAGTATCTATCACCTTCTTTCCCTGCAACTTCCTTCCTCACACAGCTAAATTTTGTGATTATTACAGTCACTCAATGTGTTTTAAAAAATTCTATTAGGATAATTCTAATTCTGTTCTTAAGGAAAATATATCAATCTTATGGCTTTTTATTGTAAACACTGATACAGTTTAGTCTGTTTTGCTAAGCTCTTGTAAAATCTGAAGAATTAACTGGACATGATAAAATTATTAATGAGCCAAAAATGTAGTATTTATTTAATGGCTTCTTTTCAAGGTATGTAAACGACTTTATAAATGATCACCTAATATTCCAAATTCTCCAACAGTATATCTCTGCTCTTTTACAGAGGGAATTTGAGTGAGATGATCTGAGGCAGGATACGTAGTCAAGGAAGTAAACATGTCCTCACATGGTGACCATACAGTTAACACAATAAGCCCCAGCATTCACATTGTAGTCCAGCTCATTCAAACACAGCTATCTATAGCAGGGAATTTTCCTTGCAGGGAGCACATGCATTTTGATTACACCTGTTCTCAGACTGACCCTTTGCTTATTATAATAGTAAACAACAAACCCCTGGGTAGAGATTTAAGCTGTTAATGAGACTTGCAATGTATGAACAAGCATGTACAGCTACTGTGCATGTGCACCCAGAGGACCACCAAGAACATGCTTACTAGCAACACCTCTTCCTATTCCTATGTGAATAATTATGTATACTTCCATAAAGGGAGTCTCCCTAGTGCCAGTCATGGTGGTCTCATCCTTAGGAGCAGCCTTCCCTGAATCCTCTCTCATGGTGTACTGTCTATTCTGCACCTAACTTTCATATTTTTTGTCCTTTGCAATAAATTGCTCTATGCTACACCTCCTTTGCTGTGTGTCTCTTGTTGAAATTATTTTAAGCTAAGAAGAACCGAGGTCTCACAATAGCCATCTCTAGATCCAGGTCAATATTGTGCCAAACAAAGGTAGGGTAAGGGTTTGAGGGAAGGTCTCTTTTTTGTTTTGTCTATTTCTACCATTTTGCAAAGCCAGTCCTCCAGATTTTCAATGTTATGAATGCTGTATTTTCAAAATATCTACAATTTATTTCTTTAGGATCTGGTTTTAAAAATAAACTGTACTTCAGCACGGGCACTGAAACTGAAGCAATTAACAGTTCTAGCACTGTTTTTACATGTCACCACAAAAATCTTTTGAACAGTGAAAATCCAATAAATAGTTAATTGTTTTACTTGCTCTACATATTATATATATATTAAAAAGCTAGTTAGATACTTCTTGAAAATTGGTTGTTTGGAGTCAAATGTGCACAAAAACAAGAAGAAACATACTTCACACACAGAATATGAAATACATAATTGTTTTCATTGTATTTTGTGTCATCTCTGAAATTCTAATGGAGCTAAGTCACTGAAGCATGTAATTAAGCCCTTGATATGTCTGGTTGTATAATCAGTCATAGAAACAATTATGCGGAAGATTTTTAACACTGACTTTTCCGGGAGTGACTTTTTAAACAGAATTATACTGTGTATCACTAGCATACAATTGAAGGAAAATATATTAAATCAGAAAAAAATTGAGAGAAAAAGCTTTACTAAAATTTACTTTTGGAGAACATGAGGTTTTGCTTTTATTAGTTATAAAACTATAGACTTAGCAACAAATAGAAATAAGTATTTTAAAAAATAAAGTATACTATTGATTTGGGTAGAACAAATAATACTGTTTATAAGTACTGATTTTTAATTGTGCTAAAATACTGAAGTAGATACATCTGACCCATTCCTGTGTAAATGTATATAAATAAAACATAAATCTCTGAAAAGTAATTTGGAAAAGTTTAAGACCCATCTTTACACAGTAATATATTGGTTTTTGAGGCAGTAAAGTTAAGATTACTAATTCATGATAAGAATTAGTAGTAACAGTAAAGAATATAATCAAGAAAACAAGGATTAGAGCCTATTTAAAAATGCTGATCACTTCTTAATTTCTTATTCCTTTAAGTATAAAACATTTATTAATTACAGAGTTCCTTTGGCACCCTATCATAAGCCTTGTGATACTACTGTGCTAGTGCCTCATAATACAACCATTATTTTATTTGGCTTTTAATATCTGTTGCACATCTGGAGTTTTTAAATTGGTATCTCCATAGAGGCAGGAATTTTGCACTATATTTCTTACTGTATTCTAATAAATGTGGTAAAGGTAAAAGATAACTATTTTTATAGAGGCACACAGAAAAAAATAAATATTTTTTGGATTTTATCTGAATTTTATTATGAAATTGATGGCATATAGCTTTTTAAGAATTATGGACTATATCCAGCTGCAATTAAGCAAATGGAACACAAAATACAATTTTAAGAATACTGACAATGACGGAGTGCTTTATAATAATATATCCAAATTACTGTATTTTAATACAAAATTGCTATGCTTTAATGCTAGTGTACAACATTGCTTGAAACTAAACTATCTTTTACCTTAGATAATAAAGCATTTGCAGGCAATATCACAAATGCTACAATCCCCTTTGGCAGAGTTAACTGCTCTCTTTACTGGGCTCCCTAAGCTTTTTCCTGGTGCCTTTAGCATATATACAATACTTATGATGCTGTATTGTGACATTAGGGAGATCTCAAATTACTGGGTTGCTCCTTGGGTCCTATTCCCTCTGGCCTACTCAAGGGCATTCCTTGAGCAATCCTCCATTCTTTCTTCTGCATCATCAACTTTTCTCTTTCTACTCGGTCATTCCCATTAGCACATAAACATGCTGTAATTTCTCCAATCGTTATTAAAAAAGTAGCCCTCCTTACCCCACAAACCCCTACCCAGCTACCACCTTATTTTTTGTTCCCCTTTACAGAAAACCTTGTAGAAAGCTTCTTTATATGTGCAGTCCCCAATTCTTCTCCTCCTCTTCTCTTTTGAATCTTCTCCGATTAAGCTCTTGCTGCCCCTATCCCACCAAAACTGCTATAGTCAAGGGTGCTAGGGTTTCCATGTTGCTAAATTCAATAGACAATTCTCAGAGTCCTTGACTTTTCTGATGTATATAAAGCATTAACACTGAGTATTACTCCCTCCTTGAAACACTTTCCTCACCCAGCACCCTAGGACTCTGTCCTCTGGCTTTCCTCGCCTCTTCTCATCATAAATTCACATGCATCCTTCAGAGCTAAGCAAAAATGTCATTTCCCTAGGGACACAATCCTTGGCCTCTCATTCTAGGTCAGGATTCTCTGTGTTTGTCTCATTTCCTCTCAAAGTTCTTCCTCGTAGCATGCCAATTACAGTCACATAAGTATTTATTAATTTAGTTACTTGAATTCTGTCACGCTTCTAGACTAAGTTTCATGAGGAAAGACAGACTTTTCTATTGTCTATTTAGTGTTATCTCCCACACTTAGCACAGTACCTTAAACACAGTAACTGCTCAATTTTTAACTGATTGCTTGTTAAGAAAGTAAATAGGGGGCTTTCCTCAGACACTAGACCAAAAAGGATCCAAGCTATATCATTAGTTTCTATTTTCATAGTTTCCATTTCCTTCCTTCTGATTTTCCATTTCCTTCTTTTCCTC